CAGGGGGGTTGGAAATAGATGATCTTAAGGTCCTTTCCAACCCCAACCATTCTATGATTCTATGAGATGGAATTTAGGTCCACATAATGGAGGTGTGTGGAACACTTGTGAAAGTCTTGTTTAGATCCTTCATTGGACAGGAAACCAGACACAAGAAGACAGTACATCAGTGCACAGCTGATGACAGAACCAGGAGGTTACAGCCAACATGGCAAGGGCCAAAGCGTGAGGGGAACTGACAAAATGCAAGGCAAAACACTGAAACTATTTAGAGCTCTCTTTTGCATTAATAAGGTTTGTAACAGGAGCTGAGAGGCCATGGCCCACATCAGCCATTAAGCTCTTACCACTCACTTGCTTTCATGAGTACAACTTGTTCACATAGGCAGGGCCTGCCACATGTATATTGTCCAACATTTTGCCAGCGTACTGGATCAAATGTTTCTATCCTTCAGTGGTTTCTATCCTACAGAGATTTCCTCTTAGGCTTATAGGGCTAAAATAACTTCATACTAATTCCATACAAAACCTTAGTTCTCCTGAACTAAGAAAAGGAAGAGTCACTACCTGCAAATGGTGAATCTCAGGATCTCAGGTTCTGAGGAAAGAAGAAAAAACACACCCCACCCCCAACCAACAAACCAATGGGTTCCTTGAGTACCTCAAACATGAAAGTATCCACTTCTTCACGAATATCCTTGTAGTCCAATTTGTTCCCTTCATCATCTGTTGCATTCAGCAGCATGTCTAGGAAAGCTTTTCTCTTTTTGGACCCACTTTCTTCACAGCTGCCATCAGTATCACATTTTGTTTGCTTGGCATTTTCAAGTTCTGCAACTTTTTCTGCAATGACCTGAGATTAGAACCGTTAAATTAGGTATGATGCATGCAGCACATGTGCACAGTCTACATCACACAGGTTTGTCCCAACCTTGAACAGCCTTTGTGAGACCAAGAAAATAGATAGTCAAACCATGCTTGTTGATCAAAAAGTGTAAACACATCCAGAATATCTGGAACAAGCCAATTGTGAAGGCCAACATTAGTGACAGCAAATCACAGAACATCACCACTATTTGAACAGACTTACCACGAAGAAGATGATAGTCTTTATCCAGTAACTAAGGAAAGGATGACAGACTGAAGAGAAGTCAGGGCACTCCACGACCCTGCATCTGGACTGCACATAGCATAGCTGCAACCACTACACTAATGCATCTCAAATTCTCTTCAAATGAGAGCAATGGTTGAACTTCCCTTTTTCAGGTTGAAATACAGCCCCAGTGACAGAGATTTCATGCTGTCACCACCATTGTCATAACAGCAAAACAAAACCCTTCAATAAACTGGTATTGCTCTCAGCAACAACAACATAATTTAAAAATAAAGACTGTAGGGGATGTAATTCTATTCAAAGAAAGCACTGACCAGGAAAAAAAAAAAAGTTACTGTTATATACACACACATTATTTCCCTTGCTGAACATATGAAGACACGTCCGATCCACCTTTTGTCTCAGTGCTACATTAGGTGATATTATTATTTACTGCTCCCTTGTCTTCAAGGGATATTATTATTTACTGCTCCCAAAGCTTCTAAGATTTGGCTTCATATATTCAGTGCACCATTATGGGAAGAAAGCAAATGTTATCTTAGATCCCTTTAAGAGGCTCTCTTGTGTTACACTGCTACAATTCCCAATAAAAGGAAGCAAAACATGAACTACTTAGAAAAAATGCAGTGTGGATCATTATATGTACTGAAACTTCAGAGATTATTTCCTTGTCATGGGCATTGATAAAATGACATTGTGGGGTAGATACATCTCCTTCAGGGAAAGCAGCCTCTCTGGTAACATTTTAACAGTAGATTTGGGAAGGCAACCAATGGCAAGAACAGCATGGGAATTAATTGGTGAGAGAAAGGACTGTTACATGCACAGTCAATATGCTGGTAGAATGCTGCATTTTAAGCCAAGTCAGAGATATATGCTTAATAGTTTCCATGTCAAAGCATCTTACTACTGATGTGGGGACCTCCATGCGTTTGCTCATCTCAGCAGTTCTTCTCCAAACAGGGGAAAATGAATACAGGCTTCAGTTTCTGAGAGCTGGATCAAGCGGTATTACCACACAGAACCCTATGCTTAATGCTACAGACCCGGCAGTGAGTTATTGCAAGCAATTCAGTTGTGGAGGATCTGGGGCAGAACAAGAGATCAATGAATTCGTGTTGTTTGTTTTGGTAGTCAAGGACCTGCAAGTCCTGTTACTCCCTTGGAGTTGTATACTCCCTTGCTTACATACAACAGAGCTCCTGACAGTGAGGTCAGCTGTTATCTTCTTTTCAGGGAATTCCTCAGCATTCGAATGGAGAGAGTGTTCTCCTTTTAATATATGCATATTAAGGGAGCTGAGCCTCACCATCATTTGGAAGCTCTCTACTGAGTGCAAGTCTTCATTCCAACAACTAAAATGTACCATTAAAAAAAAAAAAAAAAAAAAAAGAAAAGAATCTATACTGTATCTGTAAAATTGTGAAGGATCTTGAGGTTCCTCTCATGCTCTCTTCCTTCCTTGAACAGCGAATATACAACATCAGGCCAAAGCCACGGGCTCATCTGTCGCTGTTGGATTAGATCGCTCATCCTAAGGGCAAATTAATTACATCACATAACATTCCTTTATCAAAAAAAAAAACAAAAAAAACCCCAAATTTACGACATATTTTCATGAACTAAAAAAAAAAAAAAAAAGTTCTACTTCCCCCAGTGAAGTGGAGCTTAACATATTGTATGGGTTTAAACCCATTCATCTGAAGGGAAGGCTGTTCATATTTGTTTCCTGATTTTAATTCTGTCACCTGTCTGAGCATCACCATGATTTATATTGTTATGCATTGATCTCTGAGAAAAAGAGTGTGTTCTCATTTAGTTGGAATCCTCTTGAAACACATGTTCAGCTATCCAGTTCAGTCCCACTCCACATCAGTAAAGCATTGACCATGATGAAAAATCTGCATACATCCTGAAAAGACATGTCAGGGAGGGTTCCAAAATATCTGCCTCAAGACCTCAAACAGCCATCTGAAAGCATTATATTTCTACTTGACTGTCCAGATAATATATATGCCAAACAGCAAATGGAAAGTACTTAAAGAATATGAAACTTCAAGTATGCTCAAACAGAACTGGAGAACATTTGAAAGAGCTGATTGTCATTGCTATTCGGCTCTTGCATACACTTCTGGCTATAGAAAGAGACTTTGAGGAGTAATTATTATATTTAGGCTAACTTTGGGCCCACTCAAGGTGTTATTTGGGAGAGGCCAAGGAACTGATGACAATCAAACCCTCTAATTCCACCCCTTTTTTGTTATACACTTGTCTCAACAAGCCCCATCAAAGGCTAGGGGTGAGAATTGTTTAGGTTGGAAAAGACTCTTAAGGTCATCGAGTCCAACCATTTACCTAGCACTGCCAAGTCCACCACTAAACCACGTCCCTAAGTGCCGCACCTAGACTTTAAAATACCTCCAGGGATGGTGACTCAACCACTTCCCTGGGCAGCCTGTTCCAATGCTTGACAACCTTTTCAGGGAAAGAATTTTCCTAATATCCAATCTAAATCTCCCAGGCACAATTTGAGGCCATTTCCTCTTGTCCTATTGCTTGCTACCTGGGAGATGAGACTGACACCCACCTAAAGCTCCTTTCAGGAGCCTGAGACTCCTTTTCTCCAGACTAAACAACCCCAGTTCCCTCAGCTGCTCCTCATAAGACTTACACTCTAGACTCTTCACCAACTTTGTTGCCCCTATTTGGACATGCTCCAGCATCCCAATGTCTGTCTTGTAGTGAGGGGTCCCAAAGTGAACACAGCATTCAAGGTGAAGTCTCACCAGTGCCAAGTACAGGGGGATGATCACTGCCCTGCTCCTGGTGGCCAGATTGTTTCTGACACAGTCCAGGATGCTGTTGGCCTTCTTGGCTGCCTGGGCACAAGCTGGCTCATGTTCAGCTGCCAATCAGCACAGGAAGATAAGGGGAGTAGGAGTAGTAGGTTTTGAGTGTTTCATTTATTTCTCAGTATTGGGACATTTACTGAGACTTGAGGGTGTGAACTCAGTGTTGTCCCTGTAATGTTTCAGCTTGTACTGAAATACAGTGCATTTTACTGAGGCTTGGGGCATTTTTGTGGAGGAACTGAGTATGTGGCTCACAGCAGATGAACTCCTGACACCAGTAGCATCAACTCCAGCCCAACTACAAAGCAGCCAAGGAAAATGTCCTTTTACCTGTAGATAGCATGAACATAATCAGAATCCTTATTCTCCTGAGCACCCACATTCTTGCCCATCGCTGTTTCTAGGAGGAGGAAATCATCAATGGTTCATGAGTACAAGGTGGAATGCAGAGTCCCTGTACACAGTAAGTTACTACTGCTCTCAGGTTTTGATTGTCACCACTTCATCCCTTGAGCAGGTGAATACACATATCCCGTTACAGGAAATGAGCTTGCTTTATATTTACAGTCCAGGATGCTGTTGGCCTTCTTGGCTGCCTGGGCACAAGCTGGCTCATGTTCAGCTGCCAATCAGCACAGGAAGATAAGGGGAGTAGGAGTAGTAGGTTTTGAGTGTTTCATTTATTTCTCAGTATTGGGACATTTACTGAGACTTGAGGGTGTGAACTCAGTGTTGTCCCTGTAATGTTTCAGCTTGTACTGAAATACAGTGCATTTTACTGAGGCTTGGGGCATTTTTGTGGAGGAACTGAGTATGTGGCTCACAGCAGATGAACTCCTGACACCAGTAGCATCAACTCCAGCCCAACTACAAAGCAGCCAAGGAAAATGTCCTTTTACCTGTAGATAGCATGAACATAATCAGAATCCTTATTCTCCTGAGCACCCACATTCTTGCCCATCGCTGTTTCTAGGAGGAGGAAATCATCAATGGTTCATGAGTACAAGGTGGAATGCAGAGTCCCTGTACACAGTAAGTTACTACTGCTCTCAGGTTTTGATTGTCACCACTTCATCCCTTGAGCAGGTGAATACACATATCCCGTTACAGGAAATGAGCTTGCTTTATATTTACATTCCCAGGAACTCTGCTCCTCAACACAACCTCACTTCAGACTGATACCTCTGCCCTGCCCATCCTACAAACTCACCTGCTCAGATGCACAGAAGACACCCTAGGGAAAAGGATGGTCTTGGGAGGATAGAAATGCATCCACACAGTGTGCAGCAACATTCCTCTTCAACCATCTCCTCACACAACATGTGAGGCGCAGCTGTACTTCTGAGCCCCTACATCATTCACAGCCCCACCATACAACTGAAGAGGACTTACCACAGATGATATCAAGGGCACACAGAGTGATGTCCAGAAAGACATCAAATGGCTCCTTGTCAACATGCTTCTCAAGTTTCTCCAATAAAATAGTTCCTTGTTCATTCATAACCTCTAGAAAGTCAGCTAAGATCGTGAAGTGAAACGTGGGAGTTATCATCTTCCTCCGCAATCGCCACTTGTCTCCAGTGCTGCAAAATTAACAAGGAGGAAGGAAAGGTTAAAAACTCCAGGCAAAAATAAAATCCTCATCATCACAGGAAGTGTACAGTAAAAACTGCAACCTGAAACACCTTCACAGACAGATATGCTGTAGACGGGTCTTCAAGCTGTCCATAGCACTTCCCAGGATAGAAATATTTAGTGCTCCAGCTCTCTCCAAAGCACAAACTACCATTTCTACAGCTGCTCTCAACAAAAGGAGATGACAACAAGCCTTCAAGGCAAGACAGCCTCTGGTTGCTCAGTGTATAGGCTGATCTCTATAGAGGGATGGAGCAGAAGCCATCTATAGGACAAACCAGCTATTTAGGATCAAGACCTCAGTCAACCTCTGTGAATCACCACCCATGCAGATCTTCATCCACTGACTAGGAAACAAGGATTGCAGAGAACTAAAGTTGTCCACAGACATTACCCAACTGACTGCCTCAATTTCTGGTTCCTTTATATCATGGTCCCATCACAAAGCACAAGGAGTTCACCTCTGAGGGTACCAAACTGGCAACAAAGCTCCACTGCTAACAGGAGGACCTTGACCTTCTCATAACAACATAGAGGCACCGGAGGCACTCTACACTTGCCTTGCTGGCTCTTGAGTATCTGCATCATCCAGACCAACCCCTACTTGACCATCCCAAGACCAGAGGACACCAAACCCTTACATTACTGCTCCTTCTTCTCTTCACTCCTGACTTGCACTCTTACCCAGGCTCAGCTCTTACAAGTCTCCACTTCATGAGGGAAATGAAAGACAGGGTTAAGATATTCTCCCATCTGACCCCAAAGTATCACCAACCTCGGGCCCATTCTACTGGTTTGCAGTGCCACCAGCTGAGATAAGCAATGCACACAGTCGTCGTTCTGCCATAGTCCAACCACTTCATATACATCAGAACCTTCAAAACATCCAGCCCGCAGCATGGCGGACACCACTTGCCATAGGATACAATCTCCCAAAATCCACATTCATTTCAAACCTCTGGACAAAACATAACAATGGCCAAATTTGCCAAGAAACACATTATGCAGAAAGATTTTTTTATCAGACATTAGCTTCTAAAGAGCAATAGAGACCACCACAAGGAATAAGAGTTCTACAGGTATCATCTACGTCTCTGTTCAGAGATACACAGACCATTCCTGCCACCAACTCCTTTTCCTATCATACACCCTGCAGATTCCAAAAGGACACCAAGGCATCTGCATTTCACTATACCTTGTCAGAAGTCCAGTGCCCAGCCAAGGGTGTAGGAATTTGTACATGTATGATTTTTCTATATGCTTTGAGCTGTTCAGAATGACCTGTCCAAAAAAAAAAAAAAAAAAAAAGGAAAGGATAAACCATTACATGTTAGTTACATGTTAGATGGAGAAAGATTTCTTCAGCTGAGATTACTTCACCCAAACTCAGTTCCTTCACAAAAATGCCCCAAGCCTCAGTAAAATGAACTGTATTTCAGTACAAGCTGAAACATTGCAGGAGCAACATTGAGTTCACACCCTCAAGTCTCAGTAAATGTCCCAATCCTGAGAAACAAATGAAACACTCAAAAACTACTACTCCCACTCCCCTTATCTTCCTGAAAAAGAAAAATTTGTGTTGCAAAGTCACAGGCAGACCTCAGAGAAAACCTAAAGGTTTCTCGCCTTAATCAGACTCACAAAAAGTACCATCTCTTCAATAAACACTCCAACAAACAAACAACTCTATCTTCCCAGTTCAAGGACAATCATTGTCAGTAACAAAACTAACAACTATATTTCATGGCATCAAGACAGACCCACCAAGTTCTAATGCAGTTAGATACAAAGCATTGCAACCTGCATTTCATAATGTCCTATCCCAACATCAGTGGTCCAGTCTGGTGTTTGCTTCTCTGTTCTGATCTTGGGAGCAGAAACTTTCAGACATGCGAAAACAAAGTGAAAGGAGATGCTTCTTTACATAAAACATAGTGAGCTGGTGCTTTCATTTGCTGGCCATCTTCAGTATTTACTTCTTTCCATGACTAGACTTCTTCTATTCTTCCACTTTCAGCCTTTCTTTAGCACTGGGTCAAGGACCATTTCAAGTAAAATCAAAATTACGTTGAGAGAATAAAAACTAACAGGTTGGACACTGCTTTTCATGTCAGTAAAATAGACAGGAGACAAGCACACTCACCTCCACACTCTCAGGGTGATACAAAACCATGACAGGCAATGGTCCTATCCAAAGTTTCAGCAATGGCCAGCTCCTGAACTCTTCAACATAAACTTGCAGTTGTTTAAAAAAACCTGGAATGAAAAAAGCAGATTAGAATTTTTTTTTAAAGAAGGTTTTGCTGAGTAAGCAGGACTTCTGTAATGAACTGTTTTTCACCGTATGCCCTGTAATTATGTTTTTGTTGTAGTTTTATCTTGCTACTATGACCAAGCAGTGTATTTTGCACCTAGTTATCAGCTGTACTGAAGGAGTGTTTCTTTATAGCTGTACTCTTGAAAGCACTCTATTCTAGAGAAACCTCTCCTAGCTGTAGACAAGGCAGCTTGATTTAAGCAGTCTACAAGCACTATAGCATGGACCTTCTGTATTGCAATACTCTTCATAACAACTGAGACAAATCAAACTTTATCAAGGTTATGCTTACATTTTGGCTTATCTGACACTAGCCAAAACACTGTATCAAGCCGCTTCTTTACTTTCCAAATACAGCACCAAGCCTTTTCCCTCCTGAGGCCTCATTGCCAGGTACTACATTTCTGGTGCTCACACAGATGATGTCATGAACAGTAGTGGTAGAGCACTGCACAGGAATCAGTATCACTTGAAACGTCTAGTTTCTGGTAGCTGGACTCCAGAAGAAAATCTTTGGAGCCCTTACACCACTACTGTCTGCAAAATACTTCTTACTCCAGCATGTTTAAATCCTCTCACTCCCTTGCAGCCCTGACCATCAGTGATGGTTTGCAATTCTAGCAGGGGCTTTTGATAGCTGGCTGCTCCAAGGTTAAACTCCACTCTTGTCCTTTTACAAACCTTATTGAGGGTAAAGGGGGTGACGTACAGGACCACTGCAGTTTTGTCAATTCAGATGTTCCCATCTCTAAGGGCACAGACTCACATGATTATTTATGCTACAGACCACCTGAGAGATACCACTGTTACCCAGCTACCAGCTGGACTTCATACCAGTGAGCTCGGCAATCCTGCCACCTCTCTGCCCACATTATTATCCATTTATCCAGTCTACATCTTGTCAGTTTAACTATACCGAAAGCAAGGGAGGTGGTATCAAAGACCTTGCCGAATTAAATTAAATGCCATCTACTGCTCTTCACTCACTCACAGATCCAGCTATCTTATTGCAGAGGGCAACCACATTCACTTTGCAACTGTAGAAGAGGTGGCAGCTATCAGGATGTTCAAAGGCTAAACATGCCTTTGCCTTTCCAGAAACCATATTAAACAATAAATGATCCTTCTAAGGCCTCTGCAGAGCTGAAAAGTCAAAGGTCCCCCCCAAAAAAGGAAAAAAGCCTAGTTTCTTAACAGATACCCAAAAAGCAGTCCCTAGTCACAGGCAAAGTTCTAATGACACCTCATCCAAAAAGCTTAAGACTCTCAGATTATTTTACTGTTTTAAAAATATTTTCTCTAACATCACCATAATTAAGATATCACAATTTCGAAGCATTTGTCTACCTATATCAATAAATAAAATCACCATCAGATGAAAACACATTTTTCTTTCTGCTATAAAACCTTATTCTTTTTCCTAAAACCTATACTTTTTAATTGTTACATATTTGATGAAAAATATTATGAACCACAAACTTCACTCATTTTTACGTAACTAAAGAAGAACAAAGACAGGTGGTTGTGGACTTAACCGAAGCATGGAGGCTATGCAACTCCTGCTAACAAAGGAGATGACAGACTTTATACAATACAAAAGTCGCCATCAAATTGCTTTCTGGAGAGAGAAGCAATGTTGTGGGGTTGTTTGGTGGTTTTGTTTGTTTGTTTGTTTGTTTGTTGATTATTATTATTATTTCTTTTCTAAGGAGATCTAAAAGGAAGGAAAAAAAAAAGATTTCTGTCATAGTCAGGCTCATATACACATCCTGACTATGATCCTGCTACTGTTTCCCCAAAGTCAGCTTCAGGGAAAGCTGCTTGCCCTTATATGGGATGGGATCTGGAAGAAAGATGCAAGCATGTACCCTCACAAATAGAGGGATCACTGTACTTGTCCTTGGCTTTGCCATGCTCCCATGTCCCAGCTGCTCTCTCTTCTGGCAGCATACCTGGCAGCACAGCCAGCAGTGCATGTGCATAGAGCATACTGGTATACGCAGGCACCACAAAAAACACCCAGAAGAATCTGCTGGTCCACCAACAGCACAGCCAGAGCTGCTTTCACACCACAGACTCCTAAAGGAATATGCTCCTGTGCAAAACCAAGTACCAAATGAAAAAAGAACATGCATTTGAGCTCTCTCAAGCATCTGGCTTGATCAGTGCAAGAACAGAAAGGTTTGCTTTTGAGGCATGTACTGCAAATACTCAGCAAGTTCTTTTGTATCTAATGCGTAAAGCTGAGGCACAACCAATTCTGAAACTGACCCAGTATTCAGCATGCTAAAGTCCCTTGCACATGCTCACTTGGAGGAAGATAATTATTTAAAGACTTATTTTTCCTTCGCAAGCTAAATCTTTGTTTGGATCGCAGCCATGGGTACACAGTACTCCGTGCTGTGAAACAGCACTTCCTGCCAGAGCAGCCAGCATGCTTCCCTGTCGCAAAAACGTACTCCACAGGATTCATGTTCTGCCCCACCAACAACTGGAAACAGGTCCGAGTCCAGCATCAACATCTGGAAGCCACATTTAGATTGAGCCTCCAGCTAACCTTTGACCGGTAACAACCCTGCATTTATGCAGCATATCTCCTTTCACTCCCACTGCCCACTTCTCACACAGTTCCCCTCTTCAGGTTGCCCAAAGGCCCAAAGACACCTCAAGGCAATGGCATACACTACAACCCCCCCAGCCAGCCACACTTCAACCACCCAAGCATGTCCCTAGCGCTGGCTCCTCCAGCAAAGCCCCACACAGTGCAGGGACCTCCCCATGGCTGGCCTATGGCATAAGCTGTCCCTACCTTCTCCCTTCCGCTCCAAGAGTAGAGCATTTCCCAGCACAGGATAGCAGGGGCTGACACCCGGTACTGGCTTCAGCACCCACCAGCGCCTCCAGTAATCTATCAGGGAGGGCAGGGAGCTCACAGCTACAACTGCCAACAGCAAAGCCATCACCCCAGCTCCCAGCTGCAGCAGCTGGGGTCCCCGTGCAGCTCCCTGCATGACCTCCATCGTCACCTCCCAGCCTCCCGCTCCGAGCCTTGATCTCTACTGGGGAACAAGTGCTGCCATGTCTCGTCTCTGCCTGTACCCGGCTGAGTGTGCCAGGACCGAGGCACCAGAGCAGGAGGCGGAGCTGTCACGCGGGCCCTGAGGGCAGCTTCCTGCCAGGAAAATAAACAAAGATCTAAAAATCACGTGCGTGGAGAGGCTGCCTGCAAGCACTGCCTGACAGCAGAGCGGCCACAGGGAACAGTGATATTTCCCTGCCCTCACTCGGTTCCTCTGGCTCAAGTGAAGAACAAAGAAGTTTTTTGCAGGTCTGTGCAATGTCACAGAAAGAAAAGATACAAACTGCTGTCAAGAGTTTTTTTCTCTTTTTGCTGCTTTGGGAAGGATGGGTTTTCTCAACATCGTCTCTCTACGTCTGTTTTCAGGTGCTCAGGGAGCACCATTTTGCCATACAGAACTGCTCCAGTGATCTCCAACATGACGCCTGAAGGGTTTCAAGTGCTTCAGATGGCGAGTAACGTCCCTCAGTTGGGTGGATGGCTTCAATGGTTTACACAAACAGAGCCCATACAGACCCACGATCAAGAGCAGCACTGCAAAGCATGCTGACGTTTCGTGGTTCAAATGGCCTTTACTGATCTCACTGTTGAATGCTCAGTCACTGGCTAAAGGGTGCCAGTAACACAACTGGTAGCACCAGCACCTGTGCCACAAATTGCAAAGTGCCTGAGCAGAAGTGATGCCGTATACACGATATACACTGCTGCCCTTCCTGCTTCCGGAGGATCCAGGGGCTCTTACTGCTGCAGGGCTGCTGAGTGCCTGCTCCTCTAAGCGTCCAATGCTCAAAAAACCCTTGTGATCAAACAGAAGTTTGGTGAAAAGACACCATGGCTTCATCCTCTGGATATACCACAGCAGCTTCTTATAGGCATGGTGATCTGCTTTGTACCAAAATTGACTGCACTGACTGCACTGGCACTTCCAGTAAACCAACAGCAACCATCTTAAGGCGAGAAACACAGAGAAAGCTCAGATCATCAGCAGTTAAGGAAGGGCTAATGATCCTCGACAGCAGAGGGCGAGTAAATTTTGGCACTTTGTTCCTGCAATTTCCCAGCAAACACTTCATCATAAATGCTGTTGCAATTTTTTGCACTGTAAACACCTAGGATTTAACTTTGTAATTCTTGTGTTATTTGTAATGGTTTATGAGAGAAAGTAGCAGATATATACCCTGTCTTGCAAACACATAAGGTAAGCTATGTGCCATCAGTACCCTTTTTTGTTCAGGTGACATCCCAGGAAGGAAGCACACAGGCAGGATTAAGAGGCTCACCTTTTGTCTCTGTAACATGGAGATCAACAGAGTAATTATGATCTCTTCTTTATAAAAAACCTCGCAGTTTGTTGCCTTCATGGAGCTGATAACTAGACGAAGTGGTTAATTGTGGTTCTGAGTCAAAAACATGTGTTTCTTAACTGCTAATAACTCCTTCTGCGGGAAAAAAAAATGAGAAACAGTGAAACGGCACGGACGGAGTGAAAAGCCACAGGAAAAGCAGTAGGGAACTTATCAGAACAAACACTGCAAAATCCTGCCAGCAGCTGGCAATGGTGATGCTGCTAACAAAAGGCAGCAACTGCACTGGAATGAGATACCCAAGAAAGAACAAATGAGAGGTCTGGTATCTCTGAGGCCTAATTACGTCACTGAGACTTGCAATCATTACAAACCTTGGAAGATGTTCTGTAGGAGAGGAGTTTTCTACCAGATTGTGATTTGCATTCATTTTTTCACAAGGTGTCATGGTTTAAGCCCAGCCGGTAAATCATCACCACGCAGCTGCTCACTACCTCCCTCCCTTTTTCCTCCCCCTACTCCAGGAGGGATGGGGAGGAGAATCAAAAGAATTTAACTCCCACGGGCTGAGATACGAACAGTCCAGTAACTAAGGGATAATACAAAACCACTACTGCCACCACTAATAATAATAGTGATAAGGGAAATAACAAAGGGAGAGAATACAATTGCTCGTCACCTGCCAACTGATACCCAGCCTGACCCAAGCAGTGATCTGGGCCTTCCAGGTGACTCGCCCCCAGAATCTCTTTTTCAGTGGGAGCGTAGCTGGCCT